TTTTGGCTAGGCAGAGATCCACAGCCATAGCTGTGGATCTGGAGCTCGAGCTGTGGAAGTCTGGGAAGGATATAGAGGTCCAGAAAGTTGGAGCTATAGCTGTGGATCTGCAGCTATAGCTGTGGAAATCTGAAATGCACTTTGAAGCTCCAGAGAGTTGAAGCTAAAGCTGTGGACTCACAGCTAAAGCCATGGAAGCACCCAGGACCCAACAAAAACTCCAGAGACTCACAGCCATAGCTGTGGCTTCACCGCTTGAGCGTTGGAAGTTCCTTAAGATTGAAGGAGTTGTCACAACTATAGCTGTGAAACCACAGCTGCAGCCTTGGAGGTTTCTTCACCCTAAAGGACTCTCCACAGCCATAGCCGTGGATCTACAGCTGCAGTCGTGGGAGTAAAAGTCACTTTTTGGCCCTATTTTGAAGCTCATATAAAAGGGGAAAAAAGAAGAAACAGGGAGAGGACGAAAAAACAGAGAGAAAAACAGATTGGGAAGCACGTGAAGGGAGAAACAGAGCAAGAACGAAGACTTGGGCAGCTGGGTCATTTGGGAACGAAGCCCAACCCCTTGTTCTCATCTTCTACTTTGTAATCTCTTCTTTTACTTATTAGATTTTGTAATGGCCATGTGTGGCTAAATCTTTTGAGGATTGATCTTGGTGTAACTCCTATATATATTTTACAATGCTATTGAATTGAATCCCTTACTTATTTATTAGTAGCTTTGAATTGAATCTTGATAAATTTATCAACGAATTAGTGACCATCATGGAAGAACACTAACGCCAATGATTTTGGCTTTGAAATCTTGTTACTACTAGAATTTTTTTTATTACATGTGACTTTTCTTGCGAATTTTTCATAAAAGTTCACAAAAATGTTATTTTTACAAATTTTTTTTGCCAAATTTTATCTGTAGGTAATACCTTCGTGGATAATATGTTTTTGCGAATTTTAAAATTCGAAAAAAAATTTCTTGCGAAATTTCTTGTGAAAAAAATTCACAGGAAAGTTTCCTGCAAAAAAAATTCGCAGGAAAGTTTCTTGCAAAAAAAATTCGCAGGAAAGTTTCTTGCAAAAAAAATTCGTAGGAAAATTTCTTGCAAATTTAATTTTATCTATATGTAATACCTTCGTGGATAATATGTTTTTGCGAATTTCAAAATTCGCAAGAAATTTTCCTGCGAAATTTCTTGTGAAAATTCACAGCCTGTAAAACAAAATTCCCAAGAAAGTATCCTGAAAAAAAATTCGTAAGAAAGTTTTCTGCAAATTTTTTCGCAAGAAATTACTACAAATTCTATCTATAATTCTTCAACTTTCAAATGCTCACAATGAATTCATCCGAAACATTTATTTCCATGCCTCCAATATATGATACATAATCTTTTAAACTCTAAGATTGTAGATTATAAGCCTAACACTCAACCATACAAATCAACTTGTAAGGTAAGTGTTGCCTCAACTTATATATTCTTTAATTGTTTTATTTTCAATCAATGTAGGACTTGAAGTTTTTTTAAAATATTAAACTTATAAATTTAATTTTTTTAAAATTTTTCTTTCAGATTAAAATTGGCAGGAAAATCTGCAAGAAAAGTTATCTGCAAAATTTTTCTACCATTTAGTAAACATTACTTGCGAATTTATTTTTGTAAAAAAATTTGTAAAAAATAAAATAAAATTCTTACAATATTTTCTGTAAATTTTTAC